TATCCGCTCACTTATCTTTGCACGAAAACTCTTCGTGTTTCCGAGCAAAGAGGGGCAGCTGTTAGCACATGATTTTTTCCCTATATGAATTACTCCCATAAATCCAAAACAAAACAATTTCTTTCAGTGTTTGCAATTTTGGGGATTTTCGTGGCATTTTCTAGTAATTGTTTGCATTTGTCTGTGCATTTTTATTTTATTTAATTAATGAAAATTACAAAAAATATGTTGCATTTACATTTAGGATTTAATTTTATATTTTTAGGATTAATTGACAAATTATTTTATAAAAATAGGAAAAAATCACAAAAATAGTTTATTTTGCACTTTTAATTTTAATTTTGAATTTTTGTAGTTTTTTCCTTTAATTTGGTTTTTAATTATTGTAGTAACAATTATTAAGGCTAATTAATTTAATTTGGTAGAATAGTTTGGTTTAAAATTTAATTTAGGTTTTAATTTTAATTTTGGAAAAAAGAAAAAAGAATTGTGAAATTGAAAAAAAGGAAAAGAAAGAAATAAGAGGGTTAAATCTGGGCCAAAATCAACCCAGATTTCCCCAGCCCAAACATAATCACCCATGTACCCAGCCCAAACCCACGCCTCACCCGGTCCAAATCCCCCAACTAAGTCAAACGACGTCGTTTCAGCAAGCTTGATCTGGGTCGTTGATATCGCCTGATCCAACTAATATGTGTTAGTTGAGAATCGTGATTCTTAGTCTAATTACTGTAATATGTGTTAGTTCAATGATGTCAAAGTGTCACTTAGTTCTGCTTCTACTTGTGTATGAGCTTCTTGCATTTTTAAAAGGGCTTTCGACTAGGTATAGAGTGAAAATTTCTTGTTGAAGCCATATTGTCAAACATATACATGTGTTTCGAGGTCCTTTCAGGTATTTTGATGGAAACTGAAATAAGAATTGGTTGTGTTTGATAGCTAGGCTAGTTGTGGAGTTTTGTTGAAATAAATCTCACTAGGAATTGCATATTCACTTTAGAAGATATGTTAGTATTAAAATATGTTTTGCATTTGAGTCAAGGATTATCAAAATTGGTTCAAACTCAGATTTTCTTGAATGATATAATTTGCCTCAAACATTGGCGCTGAATCGTGAAACTGGGCTGCCTTATTTGGCCCAGTTATGCCGAATTTCTTTTCAGCGATGGGATTTTCATCTAGGTTTACGTCAAGCCCAGCTGCTTCTTTCGCTGGTCATGTAGTAACTGGCAGTTGGCCATTGGGCCTCTAACCAGCCTGGGCCTTTTCGTAATCAATCATGGATCGTCTATTACTAGTTCGTTGATATTTAGATTTTAGCTTAAACATTAGCATAAAATAAGTAGAAATCCTCTTACGTCTTTTAATCAACTAGTTATGCTCATTAATTAGTTGAGGTGTTCCACATTTAACATAAATAGTTATGGCTCTCACAGTTAAGTCTAGAAGTTAGAACAAATCGAGGTATGTTGTGCCAAACAAAATTACAAATGCATGGTGCTCTACTAATTTCTTATGATTTAGATACAACAAATAACCAATTATCGTAGTTTGCTTTAGGCACGTTTAATAGATTATCGTGGTCGTGGACACGTTCGCGTGACATGATTACGATCTTAAAAACAACACGAGGGATGCGTTCGCGCAACTTCAACCAATGTTTCTTAAATAAATAAACAAGGCATTATTAATTATGGACACGTTCGCATGACATGATTTTTGACGCGCCAAAGGAAAAGAGTATACGTACGCGTAACTCAATCCTTTACGAATAATCAAGTTATTTAAAAGCGGTTAGGGTAAATGCACATACGATCTAAAATGAGTAATTAAACAATTTAGTAAGCCAAGTATGATCAAAGCAACCATGCTAGAACCACGGAACTCGGGAGTGCCTAACACCTTCTCCCGAGTTAACAGAATTCCTTACCCGGATTTCTGTGTACGCAGACCATAAATAGAGTCAGTTTTTCTCGATTCGGGATTTAAACTGGTGACTTGGGACACCATAAATTATCCCAAGTGGCGACTCTGATTTTTAATAAAAAAACAATCCCGTTTCGATTGTCCTTTAATTGGAAAAACTCCCTTATACTATAGCCCTTTACAGGATATAGGTAAAAAGGAGGTGTGACACAAGTCACCCGACTTGAACTCCCGTTTCAAGATCTTTTTGTCGTGGACGAACTTCATCCTTTCTTTATACACAGCTACACTTTCACATGCATGGAAACGGAATTACTCCATTTCATTGAGTTGTGTTAACCTCAAATTTGCAGCTTAGGCCCAATCTAAGTTCAACCTCTTTAGAACCTACATGGCTTTGTGCTCCAGTTCTATGGGTAGATGACAATCTTTGCCGAAGACTAACTGATAAGGAGAAGTGCCAATAGGAGTTTCGTACGCCGTGCGGTACGCCCACAATGCATCATCTAGTTTTCTTGACCAATCAGTCCTGTTTGCATTGATAGTCTTTACTAGAATGCTCTTTATCTCCCGATTGGAAACTTCAACTTGGCCACTTGATTGGGGATGATAAGGTGTGGCCACCTTGTGCTTGACGCCATATTTCTCTAGTATCCCCGTGAAAGCCTTGTTACAGAAATGAGACCCATCATCACCAAGAATGGCTCTAGGAGTGCCACACCGAGTGAACATGTTTTTCTTTAAGAATGCGGTCACATTTCTTGCCTCGTTGTTTGGTAAGGCAATTGCTTCAACCCATTTGGATACATAGTCCATAGCCACCAGGATATATTTCATCCCACAAGAGCTTACAAAGGGACACATAAAATCAATTCCCTATACGTCAAAGATTTCTATCTCCATCACAAAGTGCATTGGCATTTCATGCCTCTTGGAGATTGATCCTTGCCTTCGGCATTGGTCACAACCCTTGACCATTTGATTGGGATCATGATAGATCGACGGCCAATAATAACCACATTCAATCACCTTAACCGTCGTTTGATTTCCCCCATGGTGACCCCCAACCGGTGAGTCATGGCATGCCTTTAGAATTAGCATAATCTCTTTTTCTGGAACACACCTTATGATGATGTTGTCAGCACAAACACAGAACAAGAATGATTCTTCCCAATAGTATTGCCGACAATCTCTCAAAAACTTCTTCTTTTGATAGGATTCCAATCCATCTGGAATAAGGTCACTAACCAAGTAGTTAGCAATATCGATATACCAAGGAGCAAAAGTGCTAGATAGTGCCAATATGTGCTCATCCAGGAATGCATCATTGATTTCAAGATCTCCTTTTGGTCTCCCTTCCTCTTCAAGCCTTGATAAATGGTCTGCTACTTGATTGTGCATTCCTTTGCGATCCTTGACCTCGAAGTCAAATTCTTGCAACAACAAGACTCGCTGAATTAACCTAGGCTTTGCATCCTTCTTTTCCATGAGATAGAGAAGAGCAGCATGATCTGTGTACACTATCACCTTGGATCCAAACAAATAAGCCCAGAATTTCTCAAAGGCATAGATAATGGCAAGAAGTTCTTGCTCAGTCACCGTGTAATTCATTTGCGCTCCATTGAGTGTCCTGATTGCATAATAGATCGTGTGGAGAACCTTTTTATGATGTTGGCTAAGAATTGCTCCAATAGCTACACCACTAGCGTCACACATGAGCTCGAAAGGAAGAGACCAATCGGGTGTGACAATAATAGGTGTCGTGGTGAGCTTTTGCTTCAATTCCTCAAAGGCTTTGAGGCATTTCTCATCAAACACAAATTTTGCATCTTTCTCAAGGAGTTTGCACAAAAGATTTGCAATCTTGGAAAAATCCTTGATGAAACACCTATAGAACCTGGCATGCCCCAAGAAACTTCGGACACCTTTAACTGAAATAGGTGGAAGAAGCTTGGAAATGATCTTGATCTTTGCCCGGTCAACCTCTATGCCATATTTTGAAATTTTATGCCCCAATACAATGCCTTCATCCACCATGAAATGGCATTTCTCCTAGTTGAGCACAAGGTTGGTCTCCTCACATCTCTTAAGCACTTGTCTAAGATTGTTGATACAATACTCAAAAGAGTCACCTACCACCGAAAAGTCGTCCATGAAAACCTCTAGAAAATCCTCCACCATGTCAGAGAAGATGGACATCATGCATCTTTGAAAGGTAACCGGATCATTGCACGAACCAAACGACATCCGACTAGAGGCAAAAGTTCCATAAGGGCAAGTGAATGTTGTCTTCTCTTGGTCTTCCAACGCGATATTGATTTGGTTGTAACCAAAATATCCATCAAGAAGGCAATAGAATGACCTTCCCGCTAGCCGATCAAGTATTTGATCAATAAAAGGCATAGGGAAATGGTCTTTGTATGTGGCACTATTGAGCTTCCGATAATCCATACACAACCTCCATCTGGTCACCATTCTTGTAGGGATGAGCTCATTTTTATCATTTTCAATCACGGTCATGCCTCCCTTTTTTGGCACACATTGCACCGAGCTCACCCAAGAACTATCAGCAATGGGGTAGACTACCCCGGCATCCAACCACTTGATAATTTCTTTCTTTACCACCTCTTGCATGGACGGGTTCAACCGTCGTTGATGTTCCACATTGGTTTCGTCTCACTCTCCAATTGAATCTTGTGTTCGCAAATTCCGGGGGGAATCCCTCGGATGTCCGCAATTGTCCATCCAATATCTTGCCTATACTCCTTCAAGACTTCCAAAAATTGTTCTACCTGCACATCATTCAACAAAGAAGAAATAATTACCGGTAAATTATCATTTGAGCCAAGAAATTTATACCTCAAGTGTGGCGGAAGTGGTTTGAGCTCTAGTTGTGGTGGCTCAATAATAGAAGGTTTTGCGGGAGGAGTGGCTCTATTCTCCAAGTCGAGAGAGAGCTTTGCTGGAGCATAAGTGTAGGACCCAAGCCCTTCCAATGCATTTACCGATTCTATATATCCTTCCATATCTTCACCATTAAAGTTCACTGAAATAGCATCCAACGCCTCACCGAGTCATTGTTCTTTCATCTTCATTTCAACCGCATCTTCCACTTCATCAACAACATCAATCACCGAGACATATTCATGTGGCAGTTTCATACCCTTGCTTGCTTGGAATGTAACCTCTTCATCATTCACATGAAATTTGATCTCATTCCATTCCGAATCCATTAGTGCTCTTCCTGTAGCTAGGACTGGTCTCCCCAAAATGATAGGGATCTCTTTGTCAACCGCACAATCAAGGATTATAAAATCGGTGGGTAAATGAAACTTTCCCACTTTAACAAGCACATCATCAACACTTCCCACCGGTCTCTTTATGGAATGATCGGCCATTTGCAATCTCATACTTGTGGGCCTTGGAATACCTAACTCTGCTTGTTTGTAAATGGCAAGAGGCATCAAGTTGATGCTAGCCCCATTATCGCAAAGGGCTCTTGCAAAATCATGTGCCCTAATAGCACAAGGAATGGTGAAAGCTCTCGGGTCTTCTTTCTTTTGAACAGTGGATGTTACAATGATGGAACTAACCCGGTGAGTCATGTTCACCACTTAATTTTTGGTGGTTCTCTTCTTGGTAATTAAATCTTTCAAATATTTAGCACAACCCGACATCTCTTGAAATGCTTCCACAAATGGAATATTCACCGATAATTGCTTGAGAATGTCATAGAACTTTTCGAGTTTGCTATCATCAACCTTCCTAGCAAGTCTTTGAGAGAATGGAGGAGGAGCTCTAGGAATAGGTGGTAGAGTTTTTGGTGTCTCTTTTACCTTTTCCTTTCACCTCTTCCCGGTTTTCGTCTTGCACTTTCAACTCTTCCGGAACCTTTTCCACTTCAACAACACTTGGCTCTTCAACCTCAACTTCATTTTCGGACTCTTCAACTTTAACCACTTGTTCACTCCCTCCTTGTAGTACCTCCACTCCGAATAGTAATTGCCATGACATGAGAAGTTGGACCACTCCCACTACCCTTGGGGTTCGCAATTGTGTCACTTGGAAGTGTCCCTTTTTGCTCCGGATTTTGTTCCCTAGAGAGGTCTCTCATTTGCATCTCCAATTTTTGAATGGATGCGGTATGAGAACCAACAAGCTCGGTCATATTCCTCATAGAAGTGTCGGACTTCTCTTGATTTTGCAATACCCGTTCAAGCATGCCTTCCAACTTAGACTCACTTGAGGAACCTTGATTTGAATATTGACCCTTTGGAGGAACATAAGGGTTTGAACTCTGATTTGAGAAGTTGTTGTTGTTCCAATTACCTTGATTTGAGCCGCCTTGGTCATGTCACTACTGTTGGTTGCCTTGCCCTTGCGGGTGAGGGCTCCATTGATTTTGTCCTTGACCTTGGTATTGTTGCCTTTTGTAACCTCCTTGAGAGTTGTTGACATAGTTTTCCTCCTCAAAGTCTTCATTTGATATGGGTTGCACATCTTCCACCAGATTTACTTTCTTCGTTTGGCTTTCTGTGAACATCTTTGTCAACACATTGACATTTGTGGTAAGCCCTGCAATCACTTGATCTCTCTCTTGGTTTTCCTTGATCATGGCAGTCAAGGAAGGAGATCCATATGCAATTCCACCTGTGCTGTCCTCTGAGTTCCATGCTTGATTATGCTTTTCCATTTTGTCAAGTATTTGTGTGACCCTTGCGAATGATTTATCCATGAAAGATCCATCAACTGCATTCTTGGCTATAGATTGGTTCATAGGATCCAAACCCATGTAGAATTTTTCCAACAAGATAGAATCCGGAAAGCCATGGTTGGGAGACCTCACCAAATATAACTTGAATCGATCTCATGCCTCATGTAGATGCCCTCCCGTTACTTGCTTGAAAAAGAAGATTTTATCCTGGATCTCAGACTTCTTACTTTGCGATAACCATTTAGCTAAGAATGCTCGGACAAGTTCGGGCCAAGAATGAATGGATCTTGGTGGCATATTTTGAAGCCATTTCCTTGCGTCCCCAGCTAGTGAGTACATGAAGAACCTCAGCCTTAGGACATCATCAGAGATGTTGTTCTGCTTATGCATCGCACACACATCCAAGAAGTTTCTAAGATGTTGTGTCGGATCATCATCAGTGGAATTCCTGGAAAAAAACCCTCCGCTTTGAGCATAAGGATTAAACCATGTTCCACCTTGAAAGTTGTAGCGCCAACGGCCGGAGGTACAATAGCATTTTTATCCTCAATGTACTTCTCTATGTCCGCAAAAGGATTTTCTTCCATTTCTGCCTCCATTTCTTCTTCATATTCGACCATGTTTTCCTATCAACACCAAGCAAAACAAGCAAATTGTGATGGAATAGACTAAGACGTAAAGTAAAACACACACTAATTAGTAATTTCAAAACCGTACTCCCCGGCAACGGCGCCAAAATTTGATACGCTCAAATTACACTTAAATTAAATAGTGTAAGACGGTCGGCGTCAAATATAATAACCCAACAAGGTTGGGGTCGAATCTCACAGGGAATAGGTGTGAAAAGGTTACTCAAATAGTGTGTTACTTGACTAAAGTCGTAATCCTATTCGGTTAATGGTAACAAGAGTATGAAATGATTTTGGTTTGAAGAAATAACTAATTGTAATGTTGAGAATGTAAATAATTTGATTAAAGAAACCAAGGTTGTGTCCCCTTCAATGAAGTGTAAAGCTATCGGTGTTAATATGATATATTTCTAATGGAAAGTTCTTTTGATATGCAAATGATTTCTAAATGACTACCCAATATTTTTCAATAGTTGGGTAGTATTTCCTCTTTATGATTTTTCCAAAAATAAAAGAGTTGCAATTAAGAACAATCAAAATATGTCAAATAAAACCCACTTATTCCTAAGTGATTCTATTAAACAAGGTTTAAAGCCTTGAGTATTTGATATTCACTTCTACCAAATTCTAACCCACTTTCCCAAGCAAAGTAAGAATTTAATGACACTTGTTAATATTTGCAACCACCAACAATAAATGGAGAATGAGAAGTAAATAAATATCAACCAACCACTATGCATATATTCAATGTTAAATAATCATTAACATAACACCCATTTAGGGTCCACAACTTTAGTATTTAAAGTTAGCTACACATACTAGAATACAAAAGGATGAGAATATTTAATGCCATAAAGCTTACAAAGTGCAAGATTCTTGATTCAAAAGCTTCCAAAAGAGAGGAATAATAAATCCTTGGATTGTAGCTTCAAAATCAAACCAAATTCCCCCACAAAACCCCAATAAATCTATTTATAGTAGGTCAAAACACGGGACAAAAATACCCTTTCCGGTTAAATATGCGACTTCATATCTGTCACATAACAGACATGCGGTCCGCATTCTTGACATAGCCATCGCATCTTCAAACCCTAGTTTCCAGGACTTCATCGCATTCACGTTTTGCGGTCCGCATTGCAGATATGCGATCACATTTCGCATTGCATTTTCCACCTTCAACAACTTTCATAACAAGTTTGCGGTCCATTATGCGGCCCGCAAACCTGTTATGCGACCGCAGACTGGACCGCATTTCTTTCACTAGACTTTGGCCAACAAACGGTTGCGGTTTGCGACCTTTTTGAGCATTATGCGGCCCGCATGTTGGATTTGCGGTCCGCATTTCCATATTTGCGATGCATTTTGCTCTTTTCTTGTCTTTTTGTGGCTTTTTGATTTCATTTCCATGCTCTTAAGTCCTTAAACCTCATACACTGCAAAAACACTAAAATTACATAAGTATAAAAGATAATTGCGTTTAAAACAAACTAAAATCTAAGCAATTTATATTAAATGTGCCAAAATTCTCCGGCACATCAAGCAACAATAATAACAATCGAGGATCTCCCAGGATACCGTCATGTAGTCCCATATGTACATATCCAATG